TGAATGAGCTGTGGGAAAAAAAGTTTAAGATACTTATAGAACAGCCAGATGGTGATAAATAGCAACATGGATCTGAGCTCAGGAAGGAAGATATGGCTCGTGCTATAGATATAATGATTTTATTCTAAATTTAGGATTGTAGCTTTGGCAGATTAAAACAAAATTCACATCAAATAGTTTATGGGTGGACTACCAAGAAATATTAAATTTTCTATATGTTGCTGAATCCAATGCGTACTTTTTAGTTCTCTATTTAAATATTAATAATTCTCAGCTTCATTCAAAATAGCCAAATGGTCACACCTCACTTTTTCAGTCTATTGCCTAGGCTTCAGTGATACCAGTGAAATTTTCTTTCAACCTCTACTCCTTCTCGGACTCTTTTGCTCCACTGCTTTTTCCCAATGTTTAGTTATTGAAGATTCATAGGGCTTAGTTCTAAGACCTCATTTTTTTCTACATACTCTCTCCTTAGACAAGCTCATCCCAAACCCCAAGACATCAATATAAACTCTGTTATTTCCAGATTTATCTTCAGACCAAACTTCTTTGCATATGTCCAATTCCTACTAAATATCTCTACTTATATGTCTCACTCTCAAGTTTAGTAAGTCTCAAGCTGAATTATGATCAATACCTCCCCTTCCCTGAAATTACCAAACAAAAATCTGCTCCTCCCCACTACCTTAGGCACAAGAACTACTGGCCCTGGAAATCAGCCTTTTCTCCCTAGGCCCCCAAATATTATCCATCCTGAAATCCTACCAGTTTTACCAGCAAATATATGTTAAATCAGGCTACTTTATCACTGCCACTCTGAACCAAGATTATACAATCTCTTACCTAAATTACTATAATAGCTGAACTTGATTCTACTCAAAGTGTGGTCTGTGAACTAATATTGGTCCACAAACCTTTGCTATTGGTCTAAGAGGAGGTAAATACAAAAACTGATAGGAAGCATTTATTAATGGAAACTTTTATAACAACTTGACACTGCCACAGCATCCATTTTATTGGGTGTTACTAAAGTGTCTGCATGAACTGAAAATTTAAAAAAAACTGGTCTTTCACCACAGGTAAGGTTGAGAAGCACTGGGTCTAATGGGTCCCCCTGCATTTACACCTGCCTCTCTTCAATGTGCCCATGACAGAGCAGCCAAGTGATGTTTTTAAAGACAAATCTGAGTGACTTATTCAGCTGTTCTAACACTTTTTGGTGGCTTCCTATTGCTCTTAGGATTAAGTACAAAATGCTCAGCTTGGACTTTGGCCATTGTGATATGCTCCAGTCTATTTCCCACCCACCAACCTCATGCATTAGGGTACAGTAAGGACTGTATCTTACAGTTCTAGAAAGTTGAAATCACCAACATCAGTTGGGTAACTACAGTTCATCCTTTAGGTTTCTGCCTAAAAGACATTTCTTCAGAGAAGCATTCTTTGATAGATTAGTAGGCTTTCATTGTTTACAATAATTTCCTTAGTAATAGTCATCATAACTAATTATTTTTATAATTTTTTTGTTTAGTTCCTTTATTCCCCAGACTTTTACCTCTATGAATACAGGTACCCTTTTTCCACTAGTATGTGTCACAAGAGCCTAGCACAGTGCCTGGTACAGACGAATTACTCAATAAACTTTTGCTAAGTGAGCAAATCAAAGTCAGGAAACAAAACAGTGAGCAGTACCACCAAATGCAAATACCTTCCAAATCTAGTCATATATAAGGCTTGAAATAAGGTTATGGAGCAAGTGCTTTATAAAAGTTAAATTTCCTTATGTCCTTTTACTAAACAACCTAAAAAAAAAGGGAAAACCCACTGCTGAGCTTAAATTTTTTTAAATAAAATAAATAAAAAACACTTTCAGAAAGATGAAGAATCTAAAGTATCTAAAGTAATCAACAAGGAAGTGGAAAGTCTGAGATAATGACTAAAAAGACCCTAAAACTACATTGCCTGGCTGCAGTATTTGTAACTGTGTGACTTTGTGGAAGTTTAGTCCATTTCTCAGGTCTCCATTTATAAAATGGAGACAATAAAACCTTATTAAATAGTTACTATAGGGTGTAAATAATATATATAAATGGTCAGTGTCGAACTAGAATGTAAATTACAAAAAAGCAGAGACTGCATTATTATTCTGATAAATCTTTTCTCAACTAAGGCCCAGCAGGAATTAAGCCCTACAAAAACTGATTTGAGTGACTACTTCCTCAGTTCCCTCAAGAATGGTACATAGCTAGTACCATTCTAAGTGCATAGGTGATGAGGCAATTCATCACATACCTTAGATGCCTTCGAGCATTAGGGCTTGATTTTCACTGGAACCATGATTGAGAAGGGCCACTCTCATGTATCCCCAATGCCTGGCATGTGGTAGGTGCTCATTAAATATTTTTGGAAATAATATTTACAAAACCGAAGGAGTAGCGCTAATCACAGAGTAGAGGCTAAATGTCAATTTTATTCTACCTCTCCATAGTTTTTATAAGCTTTAAAAGTCTGATTCCAGAGAAGTCCTTTTTCTTCTACCCTCACTGCCTATACTATGTAAGGCCAAAAATTCAGACTATAGACTTAGGAAAGCCAACAAACAAAGAAACCAATGTTGGAATGAACTATGTGGAAGCAGTAAGAGGTGGAAGACAGGTATAATCTGGATAAGCAGGAGAAAGAGCAAAGGTTATTCTAGGTCAGGGAACAGCATTAGCAAAGGCAGTGTCACCCAAAGTATGGAACATGCTACACTGGCGGCACAAAAATGATTTTAGGCTTGATGTGGGAAAATATTTTTATTTTGATAGTTACATATCTACATGTACATATTATTACATGTAATTGGGACAGCAAACAATAATTTCAAATTTACACTCTTTGTAACGACACTGAGGGAACACCTATTTAGGTTTTTTTAAAAGTGAGTCATTTAAAAATGTACCAAGTTTCAAAAGGAGCAATCTCTACCCAAAAAAAATTAAGAATGTATTAACTAAATACTAGTACCAAGAGGTAAGCAAATATGGCAAAAACTGTCATGGTTTTAAAAAGTGAGTAAAATTTGGTAAAGGCAAAAATTCACCCAGCAAAGGCACGTGAATATGAATGAACATAACAGATTAAGAGAAAAAGCCACCAATCTTCTGAATGAAGCCAAAGCCCTATCTTGAGTAATTAAAGATAAAGGTCAAATGGCTATAAAGAATATCACCAGTTTTGAGTAATGTGCAGTACTAAAACTCTTATTTGTAAAGCCCTCATTTTCCATTATGAGGAAACTATTACATGCAATACTTCAAATTCATTTATTCTCAAAACAAAATTTTGTAAGTTCTAAAAACGATATCTGAAAATAAGGACTTATCTGTAGCTTGGTAACTTCCTTGAAAATAGTAAGGTAAAAAACCCTACATTTTTCAAGTCAGAAGGAATTAATTTATACGATAACAAAATACAAATCCTATTTACATCAGAAAGGATGTTAAGTAAAGAAGAGGAAGAAGGCAGCTTTCCATTCCCACTTCCCTCTCTCAGAATTAACCTTCCAATAGCCAAAAGAAGCATTAAACAAGGTGTTTAGTATGAAAAAAAAGAAAAGAAAAATTAATAAAAATATAACAAAAAAGTAAAGCAAAGAAGTGATGATAAAGATAAAATGTATCAAACTTTTATCATGTGCCCCTGTTCTGAGTACTTGTGCAATCACCACCACCATCCTATAAGGTTTATCACCATCCCTATTTTGCAGCTGTCAGAATACTGGGGCCTCAGAGGTTAAATAACTTGCCCACAGCCAGAGCTGGTAAGTGGCAGGGCAAGGGTTTAGACTCTGGCAGTTCCACTAGAGTCTGGGCTCTTAACCACTAGGCAACATTTCTCTCAAGAATGATGGAATGAGATTTTGAAATATTCCACCAGTCCCATTATGGCAGGAGAGATGTAATTTTCCAAGGCATGAACCTTTTATTACTTCAGTTTCCAGTCCAAGAAACAGTGGATTCAATTGTAAAGAAGAAGTGGGAGGACAAGTTATTATAATGGGTCAAACTAGGCCCGGGATTATTCAAATACAGACAAAGCATCAGAAGCCTGGAAAGGATGACTAAATGACAGTGTGCAGTTAGGGAAGAGAAAGAAGGGAAAAGTTAGGATAAGCAGAAGGCAAATCTTATTTCTACTGGGCTCTGTGATTGCTTTGAGGGAGGAAATCCTACCATCCCTTTTTCCTTCTGTGAGTCAGTATTCAAATACACTCAAGAGAAAGATTAAGAACAAGGGTAGCAGCAGGAGAAAAAAAAAGAGGGATCTTTCAAGACTTGGATTCTGAACCGCAAGGTTAGCTTAATGTACCACAGTAAATGTGAGCGAGAATTTATGAGAAGCCAAGTGTGAGCTTGGAAGTGGAGAGGCTGAGGGCATGCCCACTGGGGCGGAAGTGCTAGGTGGTCCGGAGAGCTGAGAACTCACCCTAAAATGGTCTAACAGAGATGACAGTTTCCAGTGTCCGTATTTGGGATGAGGAGGTGTGAATGTGGACGCTGGTGGGGGGTGAGGGAGAAGGCAGTTTCTCGCCTTGGATAGTACTCACGGTGGGTAAGAAAATAACAGGTGAAGGGGTAGGCGTGGAGGTGTACAGGTATAAAGGGGCCAGGAGCCCCGCAAAAGCTAAAGCAGGGGCTAGGCCGGTGGAGAAAACTAAGGGGGATCCTGGTAGGCGGAGGCTGGGAAATCGCAGAGGGATGGGGGCATCCCCAGGGGAAGTGGAGACGCCGCGGGAGGGAAGGGCGGTCCGGGGGGCGGAGGATGAGACTGGAGGGCGGGGGCGGGGAGGCAGCCCCCCTAGAAGGCCGAAGGTGCGCCGCAGGGGTCGGACTCCGGGACCTGGAGGGAGGACAGCGCGTGAGGGAGAAGAAGGAGGCCGCCCGGCCCCGAGCCGGGGGAGGGGACTGCAAGCCACCAGGGCTGCCACTGGGACCCCCGGGGGGAGGGGCACTTACCCGGACGTCCGGGGCGGCAGCTGGCAGTCCGGGCGGCGGCCCCGGTGCTGCTGAGGCGGCGGCCGCGGCGGCTCCGGGAGCCCGAGGCTGTGGCGGCGGGGGTGATGGCGGCGAGTCCCTGTGGCGGCCGCCTCCGCCGAACCGCATCCCTCCTCCCCGGCCCGCCCTCCTTCTCTATCTCTCGCTCCTAAACTTCTTCCCCGGGATAAACAAACCCGCCGCCGCCAGGGGCGGCCACCTCCACCGCTCCCGCCCCCGCGCAGCCCCCCACCCCCCCGCCCCGGGCCCGTCCGGGCTCCGGGTTCCGAGTTCCGACTCCAGCCCCAGCCAGCCCGCGAGGGCGCGTGCGCGCGGCGGCGGCTCGCGAGGCTCTCCCTCCCTCCAGCGCCGGGCACTTCCGGGCGGGCCCGGATCTGCCGCCGCCGCCGCCGCTGCCAGGCACCGGGCTCCCGGCCGGGCAGGCTATGCCGCCCGGGCCGGTGGGGTGAGGGGCGCGAAGTGGCCTTGCTTTGACGGGCCCTTATTTGGCCAAGCATAAAACTTTTCTTGCCCAGCGATACTTCCTGACTGGTCTAATCCACGAAGAAGGTGCGAAAGGCGACCGCCATTTCTGCGCACGATTTCTTGGGGCCGTACCAGTCTAGAAAGCCAAGGTACAAGTTTCGCTGAGCCCTGGTCGCGAGCCCAGAGCCGCAGGGACTGCTGAAACACACAGCCAGCAGTGTACTGACCCCACCAGAAATGGAGAGCAGTCCCGGTAGACAGGCGAAGGGCCACAGTGGGACGGTTTTCGGTTGGAGGAGATGAACCTCAGCTGAAGTCTCAGGCCTAGGTGGCGAGAGGCTGCCTAGGGGCGGCCAGGATGCTTGGCAAGTAAGTGCAGAAGAGCCTGCGGCGGCCCAGGACTAGATGTTGGCAAATAAAGCTGTGTCTAAACAAATATCTGAAGAAATGTGGGGACTGCCTCGTCTCCCTTTCGACATTTAGAGTTCAGAGAAAGGGGTGAACACAGAACTTTTTATTCAGCACGACCGTGAGAAAAAGGTACTTGATCTAGCTACCATGAGTAAACTTCATCAAGAAGGTTTCAGGTACCCACAGTTGAGCAGACAGGAGTATCATTCAAGGATCCGAACCTGTTTTGTATTACTTTAACTGTGCATAAATCAACTTCCAATTGCTTGCCTGGCTTCCCAAAAGAAAGGGAGGGGGAGGAAGAAATATTTAGGAAGTATTTTTACCTTGCTCCAAGTACTGTACTAAGCATAGACTTTTTTGTTTTTTGTTTTTTTCTTCTTTTTTTAATTAGTGAGTCACCATGGTATACAATCCAGGTAAGCATAGACTTTTGTATCATCCATTTTAAATCCTCTCAGCTTTTCTACAACTTCATGGTATAAATTATTCCATTTTACAAATAAAGCGACGAACACCAGATGTGATAAATAATTCATCCAAGCGCTACTGAGGTTTGAATACTAGCCAGAACAGGTTCCCCTCACTTCAAGTTAATACTACATTGGCAGTCTTATTCACATATTTATGTGCTTGGGATACAAAAGCAAAAATTTTCAGAAAAAAGATAAGATTAGCAGTATAACCATAGAATTCAAATTGCCTTCGGTTGAGTTGGTGAAATGTTTATGCAGACCAACGAACTCCAAAAGTTAAAAAACAGAAGTGAAAGTGAGCATGGGGGGTGCCGAGGAGGATGATTGAGAGAGGAAATATAGTGCAACAATTTCACCATCTCCAAACACCGACAAACAACAGTTAAAAACTATTTGCTATTCTCACTGTGGATGTGTTGATTTTATAATATGTGAAATACATAAAGTGGAAATTACATGTAATTTTTGACCAAGTCTTTTAGCTATTTCAACCCCTTAGTAGTATATCACCCCTTCTTTTTCACTAATCAAAAATTATTAAGCACCTAATAATGGTAATACACTCAAAGAATGAAATTATAAATCCTTCAAGTAAATTTCCAATTGTAAGTAAAAAGTGATACTTGCTGCCCCTTCACACTTGACTGGGTTCAAGTTGGGAACTAGTTCAGTAAACTTAGGCCAGGCATGGTGGTTCACACCTGTAATCCTAGCACTCTGGGAGGCTGAGGTGGGAGGATTGCTTGAGGTCAGGAGTTTGAGACCAGCCTGAGCAACAGTGAGACCCCCATGTCTATTAAAAATAGAAAGAAATTATCTGGACAACTAAAAATATATAGAAAAAATTAGCTGCGTATGGTGGTGCATGCCTGTAGTCCCAGCTACTTGGGAGGCTGAGGCAGGAGCATCGCTTGAGCCCAGGAGTTTGAGGTTGCTGTGCTAGGCTGCTAGTGCTAGGCTGACGCCACGGCACTCTTGCCCGTGCAGCAGATCAAGACTCTGATCTCCAAACAAAAAAAGAAACTCAACCACTACCATGATCCTTTTGTAGTTCATAAGCGTGATGATTGAGTTTTCACGTGCATGTCTGAGATGTGCCTCCTTCAAACTTTGTTACAACGCTGGCACATTACCCATCTGACGTAAAAAATAATAATGATAGTAATTCAGTAACCTTTCATCCCAAGGATATCAAATTGCTCCTCAGTGTATTCTCATGGGGACCTTTTCCCAAGGCTTGATCTCCTTACCCTAAGTGTTAGGATATACCTTTTCCTCTTTGCAGTATTCTGTGACAGTATGTCAGCAATTAGTGAAGATGAAGATCAGAACAGCCATTCTCAGTTTAAGAAGCACAGATGAGCCTCAGACCTTGGATCCCCTTCACCCAACCCGTTGAGGCTCTGCCTGAAGAACCAACCAACGTTCCCACTCTGATATTTTAGTGACTGCAGCATCTTATTCCTTTTTTCTAAATTAAATACCACAGATGCTCCAATTTCATGGCTTGGTTCATGCACAATGAACTCACCACTGCATCCCATGCCACTACCTGTTTTGTACAATCATTTTCTAATTCTAATTGTCAAAAACTAAGTTATATTTAGTTCTCATAAAGGAGTGCAGGAAGAAAAAAAAACTAAGTTATAGAAAATGCACAGATCCATTATCTTCTCTGTAGAGGTAAAACAAAAGTAGCCATATGCTTGTTGGCAAACATGTTATACTTTATGAATCCTAAGTGATGTACTCTCTGGGCTTGCTGCCGCTGGACATTTTGCTAATAACCCTACTCTTTTTAATATGGTCCACCAAGTTCTTTTTTGCTAGTAAGCTGGGTTCCACATATTTTTCTTTTTTCCTTTTTTCTTTCTTTTTTGTTTTTTAGAGATAGGGTCTTACTGTGTTGCCTAGGCTGGAGTGCAATAGCTCTTCACAGGCGTGGTCATAGCACACTACAGCCTCAAACTCTTACGCTCAAGCAATCCTCCTGCCTCAGCCTCCCGAGTAGCTGGGACTACAGGCACCAGGCACATGCCACCCAGACCAGCATCCCACATATTTTTCTAACCATTGTCCCTTCTGTCCCAAATTTTCTTCAAAGGAACCGAACTCAGCTAACTTGTCATCATACATTTAAAATGACATTTAGCTTTTGGAATTAAGGTGGAAAGAAAAGGACAACTCATTTGCTAATTGTTGTTCACCATTACAAATATTAGGTCTTTGGTGGATGGAAACACCAAAACCCTTGTTTAATAATTTATTAAGTTACCATATACTTAATTTCATTTTCCCAAATCTCCATTTCTTTCTCTCTGGCTTTTCACCTAGCTTGTGAATTCCTAGTTTTACAGTACTTTTATATGATACTGACTTTTTAAGGATATAAGGAACTTCAGAACTCAAACATTACGCCCACAACCCTTGTGTAGTGATGCCTGTAGCAGAAAAGGGCCCATAAGTTTGATATATTTATCACTCAAAAATCATTCCTAGAGAATTCTCATAAAACTAAGAACAAGGCCATTTTTAAGTTCTTCGGTGACGCCCTTACTTTTATGCCCCAGTCACATTTAATTCTTTGGTCCTTTGGATAATCTGTCAGATCTACTATAGAAAAGGTGATTTTTGTTTTTTTTCTTGTGAAAAACATGTGAAGAGTCAGGGTTGAGTTGCATTTGAATAGTTGGCATACTGCTATGTTTTATAGCTATTCAGTTAAATATTAATTTTAATCAGGTTAAAAATATTTTTGAGGCTCTTGAAATGCTAGTAATCCCTAGATTCTAGATCATTAAGTGCTTAATAAATTAGAAATAGCAATACTATTGCTGGAGAATGTATCATCTGGAAAAAAATGTCGGTCACCCTACCTGCAAGTCCTCTATTCACAATGTAATAGAAGAAACACAATAAAATGATCTCTTCTACAAGATTACCCAAAGCCCCTAGCATTCCTGCAGGCATCCCCTGAGGACTCTTATACAAGGTCACTTACAATTGCTGAAAGTCTTTTACTGTGCCAGGATCCAGGTGGGCACTGCTGCCATGATCTAGTCCCCGATGACCTCTCTCTTCAGTTTGGCCAGCTAAGTTCCTTCTCCTCTGCTGGTGCCCTGGCCCTGCCCCTTCTCTGCTCTCAGATCACTGGAAAATTGCAGTTGACTCTGGACCCTAGAGATAGACCCAGGGGAAGCCTAGAGCCCTCCACTCTGCTCTCCGACCAGTGGTCACCAGCCTTTGCAGCAGCCCTAAATGGCTCTAGAGGTGCAGCTGCTCAGTCTCCTCCTCTTGCATCTCTGCTCAGTCATCACAATGTCTCCAGGTCAGGGTCTGTGGTCTCCTCCCAGAGAGACACACCCTTCTCCCTATCAGGGCAATACCTGGCTAGACTAGAAGTTTATTTAAACATCTGCCCCTGTGATGCCCAGAATGTGGGTCCCTGTTTATGTATCCTTCTCCTCCTAAATTGGGGCCACTTCACCCCACTTGCCTCTGAACCTGACTCAAGAAATGTTAGCTCCATGGCCTATTTCTCTGGACACAGCCTGCCTCCAGGATAATCTCAGACCAGATCACCTCCTGTTTGACTCAGACTCAGGGCCCCCCTCCCCCCAAGGGAGAAGCATATAGAATTAGGCTCCCAGACCAGCAATCTAGAAGTCTAGTCTCATTGGTTGAGGTTCTGCAGTGTTCCAGGAGCCTTGGAATCTCTGGGCTACAGGGTTCCTTGACTCACTGATTTTTCTGTTCTGCTACAACAGAAGGGCCAAGTTCTCCAGTTCAGTCCTCACTTTATCTTCCGCTGCCTCCCTGCTTTAGAAACTAAGCCTTGCTGT